TGGGTTCATGGGTAGGTGGATGAGTAAATGGGTAGATTCATATAATGAATGGGTGGGTGGGTGGATGGATGGATGGATGGATGGATGGATGGATGGATGGATGGATGGATGGATGGATGAATAGATAGGTGGATTTATGCGTGAGTGGATTCATGGGTGGCTGGATAGATGGATTCATGGGTGGATGGATTTACAAGTAGATGGATAGATTCATAGGTAGGCGGATGAATAAATGGGTACAGTTGTGGGTGTGTGGATGAGTGGATGGATGGATAGATAGACGGATTCATGGGTGGACGGATTCGTGGATGGATAAGTACATGGATTATTCATAGATGGATGGATAGATTCATGGGTAGGTAGATGAATAAATGGGGAGATTTGTGGATGTGTCATTAAGCAAATGGATAGATTCATGGGTAAATTGGATGGGCTTGATCAGTGGATGTATGGATCCATTGATGGATAGATGAGTACTTAGATGGCATCTGACAGGGTCCAAGGCCTGGATACTCACAGGGATCTGCCACCTAACTATAGATTCTCGTTTGAGGGGCTGCTGTGTCAATGGGATTTGTAAAGGTCCCAGGATTTTGTCTGTCTGAACCTGACTGATGATCATTTCAACTGATGGTCCATATTCAAGATACAAGCAGGCACATTGTTCTCCTGAACCCTTCCGCCTCTAGCTTCATTCCTTTTTCCCACTGCCCAGGCTCCAGTAGGCAGTGGTGTGGGTGAGTGGCCCTTGACAAATGTCAGGGGCTGCTCTGGCCCCTCGGCCTCAGCCCCTACAAGGCAGTCAGTGGCCCCCCAACTCCTACCATCTGCCCACACAGGTGTGCCCAGTTCATCAGAGACACCTGGAACAGCCACTTGTCCCACCTGTCTTCCAGGCCCTGACCTTCTCTCCATGAAGACCCCACCTTTTTCACTTCATATTTTGGGGGTTAAAATACACAACATAAGGCCAGGCATGGTGGCTCACACCTGTAATCCCAGCACTATAGGAGGCTGAGGCGGGTGGATTACCTGAGTTCGGGAGTTCAAGACCAGCCTGTCCAACGTGGTGAAACCCCCGTCTCTACTAAATTAGCCAGGCATGATGGCAGGCACCTGTAATCCCAGCTACTCAGGAGGCTGAGGCAGGAGAATCGCTTGAACCCAAGAGGCGGAGTTCGCAGTGGGCCAAGATCACGCTACTGCACTCCAGCCTGAGCGACAAGAGCAAAAGTCCATCTTAAAAAAAAAAAAAAAAAAAATAGCTGGGCGTGGTGGTGCATGCCTTTGATCCAGAAATTACAGGTGTGAGCCACGCCACTGCACCCAGACACTATGTTTAGTTTTTCTTTTTCTTTTTTTTTTTTTTTAAGACGGAGTTTTGCTCTTATTGCCCAGGCTGGAGTGCAGTGGCGCAATCTCAGCTCACCGCAACCTCCGCCTCCTGGGTTCAAGCGATTCTCCTGCTTCAGCTTCCTGAGTAGCTGGAATTACAGGCATGTACTACCACGCCCAGCTAACTGTATATTTTTGGTAGAGATGGAGTTTCTGCATGTTGGTCAGGCTGGTCTCAAACTCCCGACCTCAGGTGATCTGCCCACCTTGGCCTCCCAAAGTGCTGGGATTACAGGCGTGAGCCACCGCGCCTGGCCGTTTAATTTTTTAAGAAGCCGCCATACTGTTTCCCACAGAAGCCACACCATTTTACCTTCCCATCAGCAGTGCACAAAGGTCCCCACCTCTTATCTTTGATTTTATTTTTCTTCCCATGGGTCCGTCTTTTGCACGATCCTATCTGCCACATTGCAGAGATTTTTAACCCACAGGAAGCATTCAGGGTACCTTGTTGGGAAGATGACACAGATTCTGTTGCTACAGTTCCAGGCCTCCCTTGGGGAGAAACTAAGCTGCCTCCTCGTCTTGTCTGGGTGTCCAGCTGGCTCAGGAAAGACACTACAGGATTGACCTCCGTATGGGCACCGCCCCCTTTCCCACAGTATCTCTGTCTGCATTTCCTAGGAGGGACTGCCATAACAGTGTACAACAAACCGTATGGCTGAAACAACAGGAATTATTCTCAACATCCCGGAGGCCAGAAGTCGGATATCAAGGTGTCCGCAGCGCTGGTTCCTTCTGGAGGCTCTAGGGGAAGCTCCTGGCTACCTCCTCTAGCTTCTGGTGGCTCCCTTGGCTTGTGGCCACATTACTCCAATCTCTGCCTCTGTCTTCAGGTGGCCTGTGTCTCTCCTGTTTTATTTTTTTATTTTTATTGTTTTGGAGACGGAATCTCACCCTGTCGCCCAGGCTGGAGTGCAGTGGTGCTATCTCTGCTCACTGCAACCTCTGCCTCCCAGGCTCAAGCAATTCTTGTGCCTCAGTCTCCCGAGTAGCTGGGATTATAGGAATGTGCCACCACACCCAGCTAATTTTTGTTATTTTTAGTAAAGACAGGGCCTCACTGTGTTGGCCAGATTGGTCTGAAACTCCTGGCCTCAAGTGATCCGCCTGCTTCGGCCTCCCAAAGTGTCGGGATTACAGGCGTGAGCCACCGCCCCCAACCCCCTCTTCTCTTATAAGAACATTTGACATTGGATTTAGGGCCTGCCTGGATTATTAAGGATGATCTTGAGGTCTTTAACTTAAGGGCCTCTGCAAAGACCCTTTTTATTTTTTGAGATAGCATCTTACTTTGTTGCCCAGGCTGGAGTACAATGGCATGATTATGGCTCACTGCAGCCTTGAACTCCTGGAGTCAAGTGATCCTCCTGCCTCAGCCTTCTGAGCAGCTGGGACTACAGGTGCACACCACCACACCTGGCTAATTTTTTATTTTTATTCCGTAGAGACAGAGTCCCACTATGTTGTCCAGGCTGGTCTTGAATTCCTGGCCTCAAGAGATCCTTCCACCTTGGCCCCCCAAAGCTCTGGGGATTACAGGCATGAGCCACTGCGCCCAGCTCCTTTTTTCCAGATAAAGTCACATCCCCAGGTTCCGGGAGGCATAACTTCCAGGGCCCGCCATTGGACCACACACCAGAAGGGCTGTCCTGGCCCAGCCCATAGCTAAACGGTTCAGCCTCCCTTGCCTTCCCCAGGGTGCTGTCATATTCAGGACCAGTGGCCCTCTGTGACCAGGTCTTCCAGACCAGCTTTGGAAAGTCATACCTGTGGCCTTGGATTCAGGAAAGGGAGTCCTGCCTCCACCCACAACCTCAGGACTGTGGCCATCCTCGCCCCAGGGAGGGAGGCGCACTTCCCATCCCAAAAATGGCCGCAGCAATCACACAAGGAGCCGGCTCGGACCGGTTCTGCTTTTGCCTACCTTCAGGCAGGTGACACTTCTCCATGCCATTCCCACGAAAGCCAAGGGTCAGGCGTAGTCCAAGCCTCCCTGCCCAGTTCCCCAATTTATGAGGCTGCAGCTTCCTGTGTGTTCAAGGACTCAGTGCCGGAGGAGCCCTGGGTGCCCGTAAGACCCATTTGTTAGGCCCAGGCCTTGAACATGATTGGGGAAGGGAAGGGGTCATCATCGGTCAAGCGACATTTTGATGCTAGACACCCAGTGTGCTAGCCCTGCCATCCTGCCACCGTGGAGCCACGTCCTCTGCCAGACCCGCAGATGCAGCACAGGGAATCGGCCACCGGCTGAGATTGAAACATGAGGCTCCTTCTAGAAACAGACACAGCCTCCCTCCCCAGGAATGCAGGAAGGTGCTGAAACTGGTTACTAGCCCGGCAAAGGAATAGAAGGAAACATTTTTTTCTCCTATTTGAAAGAAGAGGGGACCTAGGCCAGGCCCATCGAAAGTCACCTGTGCATCGTGTATGTCCCTATGTGAGCCTGCAGACGAAAGACTGCTGTCCTGGGCTGGGCATGGTGGCTCATGCCTGTAATCCCAGCACTTTGGGGGACTGAAGCGGTTGGATCACGTGAGGCCAGGAGTTCAAGACCAGCCTGGCCAACATAGTAAAAACCCCATCTCTACTAAAAGTACAATATTAGCTGGGTGTGGTGGCGCATGCCTGTAATCCCAGCTACTCGGGAAGCTGAGGCAGGAGAACCGCTTGAACATGGGAGGCAGAGGTTGCAGTGAGCCGAGATCATGCCACTGCACTGCAGCCTGGGCAACAGAGTGAGACTCTGTCTCAAAAAAAAAAAAAAGACTGCTGTCCTGGAGAGACAGGCAGGTGGCATTCAGCAGGCCCTGAATCAGGAACCTTGTGCTGTACCCTGGCCCTGCCACCCCTTGGGCACCAGCTGTGTCTCCTGCATAACAGGATAAGCTCAGATGAGGGTGATCTGGAGCCCCCAGTGAGCTCACATCTCTAGTGATGGCGGACCCCGTGATAGACCGGCCCCACCAGACTCAGCCAGCCCCAGCTGGTGCGAAGTGATCCCACCAGGCCACCCGCTTCCCACAGGACCCTGGGCAGCACGTAGTCTCACCAAGCCTTGGCTCCATGTCCACTCCTCAGGAGCCACCGTGCCTGCCCCAGCGTGTAAGAGGAGTCCCTGAGAAATATATCAAATGATGCCTAGAACGTATTTGTCCTCGAAAAAACATTCCCTGCCACTACTTTTAGCATCGAGAGATATTTGGGGCTGCAGAGACACCGTAGTCCCTGTGCTGGCACCCTCAGACTCAAGGTCCCACATGATGCCAGGTGCCTCCTGAGGGACCTCTGAGAATTTAATTTGGAGGAAACATCTTAACTGCTTGGCACAGAGAAAATGATTGGCAAGGCCAGGAGCAGTGGCTCACACCTGTAATCCCAGCACTTTGGGAGGCCGAGGCAGGTGGATCACCTGAGTTCAGGAGTTCGAGACCAGCCTGGCCAACATGGTGAAATCTGTCTCTACTAAAAATACAAAAATTAACTTGGCGTGGTGATGGGCACCTGTAATCCCAGCTACTGGAAAGCTGAGGCAGGAGAATTGCTTGAACCCAGGAGGCGGAGGTTGCAGTGAGCGGAGATCACGCCACTGCACTCCAGCCTGGACAACAAGAGCAAAACTCCATCTAAAAAAAAAGAAAAAGAAAATGATCGGCAAACGGCAGAACACCAGACCGTATGGATACAACCAAGTATTGATGGGTATCACAGACCCCTGGGCTTCCAAGGACACTGTGACAAAATTGGAGAGGAAGCCCCAGACCCAGAGAAGGTACCTGCAAATCAGAACCAAGAAAGGACTTGCATCTAGAATATAGAAAGAGCATTTACAGCTCAATAATAGGACCAACACCCCAATAAGAAAACCACAAAAGACGTCAATGGATACTTTATCAGAGAAGACCTATGAATGGCCAGGCAGCACGTGAGAAGATGTTTTTGCCATTGGTCATCACGGAAATGCAAATCCAAACCACAGTGACAGGCCAGATGCGTGGCTCATGCCTGTAATCCCAACACTTCAGGAGGCTGAGACAGGT